ACAAAAAGGGTAGACAAATCTAAAACCAAAGTTTAAGATTTTAATACACCTCTCACTAGGCAAGAGAGCAAACATTTTTAAATCAGTAAAAAAAAAAAAAAAAATTGAAAAACACTATTGACCAACTTGACTAAGTTGATATACACAGATGACCACATGAACCATTGCGGAATACACATTCTTTCCTGTCTATGTGGTAAATGTACCAAAACAGAAAATATGTTAGTTTAGACAACAAATCTCAACAAATTTCAAAAGAGTGAACTGATACACTGCAGGATGCAGACGAAACAGTTCTCAGAGAAAAAATGTATAGCTTTCGTGCATACATTACAATATTTTAAAAGCTGAAAATCATTTTTCAATGCTCTCAAGTCAAGAAGCTAGGAAAAATAAAAAAGGTAATGGTAAATTAATTCCAAAAATCATAAGGGAAGAAAATCATAAAACTAAGAACAAAAACTAATGAAAAAAATCAACAGAAAACATTGACAACATTAACAGTTGGTATTTTGAAAACATTAGTAACTTTAATAAACCCCTGGTAAGATGGATCAATATGAAAAAGATAACACAAATTATCATATCAAGAATAAAAAGAGAGGACATCACTATAGAGCCTACAAACACTAAAGGATAGTAAGAAAATATTCGGGAAGTGTTGATAAAATAGACGAGTTTCTTGGGAAAAAAATTACCAAAACTGAAAAAAAGAAATAAAAAGCCTAATGGATCTATATCTATTAAATACATTGAATTATAATTTAAACCCTTCTCCCAAGGAAGACTCCAGACTCAACTAACTTCATGGTAAATTCTTACAAATATTTAAGGAAGAAATATTGTCAATCTTATACAAATTCTTTCCAAGGATATAAAAAGGAGGGAACACTTTCAACTTATTTTAAAGGGTCAACATTACCTACAACTTAACAAAGAAATTACAAAATAAAGTTACTGGCCAATATCTCCCAAGCATAGGTATGAATATTCTAAAATTATATATAATCTAGCATTGTATAAAAAGAATAACTTATGTGCAAGTGGAAAATATCCAAAGAATGCAAAGTTAATTCAACATTCAAAATCAATGTAATTCACCACATTTACAGAATAGAGGACAAAAACCATATGATCATCTCAATAGATTCCATAAAAAGTATTTTTTATATTTCAGCATCCATTCATGATAAAAGAAAATTCTTGGAAAGCTAGGAATAAAAGATGTGGTGATTTTTAAATGTTTATAAATTCTGACATTTATGTTCCCTCCCCTTGAATCTGGGTTGGCTTGTGACTAATTCAACCAATTAAGTATGATAGATACAATACAATGTGACTTCCGAGGACAGGCCAAAATAGCCCATGCAGCACCTGTCTGGTTCTATTGCAATACTTGCTCTGAAAGAAGTCAATGGCCGTGAAAACAGTTCCACTACTCTAAGACCACCTAATTAGAGGATCCACATGTAGGCACTCAGGTCAACAGCCTGGTTGAGCTCTCATCCAAAAGCTAGCATTAGCTGGCACAGTGGCTCATGTCTGTAAACCCAGCACTTTGGGAGGCCAAGGTGGAAGGATTGCTTGAGGCCAGGAGTTCAAGACCAGCCTGGGCAATAGTGTGAGAATCATTCC